GATACCTGGGAGCTGCCATTATTGCAAATTCCATCTTTACCAGGTTATGCCATTGGTTTTTATTTTGTTATGTTCCTAAGACGTAGTGGAATAATCGGAAAATAATGAAATCAACCACCATTCTTGTGATGTTCAGCATAGAATGCAGCGAGTTATTGATCAGTAAAATTTCATTGATTTCACAGTGTTATTGTTGATGCATGTTAAATAGTTGATGATTCAGCAGTTATTTCAATTCAGTTACATACAATTATGTGCCAGTCTGTGTAAGAAACAGGCAATTTGGAAAAAATCAAAACATGGCAGAAAAAACCCACCGACCTACATTGTACGTTACCATTGATCCTATTTTGAAGATACCCTTATCCTGAGTTAGAAATGGTAGGTCTTTCGTTTCTGCTTGTCTGGTAATTCTAGAAATCTCTAGATAAATTTTGGTTGGAATGATAGCAATTTACGGAGTTATCTCCCCTTTATTGTTAATTTCAGTGCATTTCAACCAAATTATATCTTGAATAACCAGAACAGGAAAAGGAAACGAATGTTATTTTCGTGCACTATTATACATTTTGAACATAAACTAATGTCAACTTGAGTGGGTTTTTGTTTGTCATGTTTTCACCACTGCCTGATTCTTAGGCAGAAATTGGCACTTAATATCTCATTGTACAAAATTATTAAGCCATAGATCTACAATCCAAGTGTTTTTAGTGGAGTGATGTCGGGACAAGGTCATCAGAAAAAAGGGGGGTAGAGATGAAAAGATGAGAAAGAGTTTGATGCCTCACTATTAAATAATCATTATAAATTATAATAAAATCATTTGCAATTGAGAGTAGTATAACAACACGATTTTGATACAAGTTTACAGAAAAGGGGGCTGATTCATAGATTGGAGGATAAAAGAGCTTCACAGTGACTCAGCAATAAGTTACTACAATCAATTTGGTGCCTAGAGTAGATCATTGTTAAGTCACGATTTTGATACAAGTTTACAGACTATTTACCGGATTTGTAATAACATAAGCAACACAACGGGTGCCACATGTGGAGCAGGATCTGCTTACCCTTCCGGAGCACCTGAGATCACCCCCAGTTTTTGGTGGGGTTCGTGTTGCTTAGTCTTTAGTTTTCTATGTTGTGTCATCTGTACTATTATTTGTCTGTTTGTCTTTTTATTTTTAGCCATGGCGTTGCCAGTTTGCTTTCAATCTATGAGTTTGACTGTCCCTCTGGTATCTTCCGTCCCTCTTTTACAGAAAAGGGGGCTGATTCATAGATTGGAGGATAAAAGAGCTTCACAGTGACTCAGCAATAAGTTACTACAATCAATATGGTGCCTAGAGTAGATCATTGTTAAGTCATCTGTATGTCAAATGTTATTACATTATACTACAGTGATGTAATTAAGCATCTGTGAATGTGATGGTATTCTAGTGCACTACATAATTTACTTTATTCTCACGACCAAGTTTCTTTCTCTGTTTTTTGCCCTACCATAATTGAAAGAACTAAAGAACTTAAAACAAATGTTGAAAGCTCAATTGAATTTTCATCAAGGAGCATGCACCCTTAATTGCCCATGGTATATTCAATAAAGTGAAGGTGAGAATATTTTGGCATACAGAATTTAGAGGTTTTTCTAGAAAAAGTCTTATTTTGCAAAATTTCCCTATCTTAAAGGATGATCATGATAGTGAAGCCCTGCAAATTGCTGCTGATCCAAAGTCAAGAAAGTAAGGGAATTTTTAATCCCCACCAGTTGTGTGTAGTAGTAGACTGAAAAGTGGGATGGTGGCAAAATTCTGAAAGTGATTTACATATATAAGTACCTTTTCTATAGTCTTAAAGTTAGTCAGTGTCCTCTTTCATTTCAATTTTTTAATTTCAATCAAAATAAATGGGGAATGTGTCCATGAGACACAGATGATGCCCCCGCTTGCATTTAACATTATAAAGGGACATACCTCAAGAACGGTAAAAGTGACACCACCAAAATTCAAACTTGATCAGTGTTTTGTGGTTATATAAGCATTGTGTATAAGATTCATAACATTTGGTAGAGAGGCAAACTAAAGTTAGAGAACGGAAACGAAAAAATCAGCAATTTTTCCATCTGTAAAGGGACATAACTCTAGAAAGGTAAAAGTGACACCACCCAAATTCATACTTGATCTGTGTTTTGTGGTAATAAGTATTGTTTATAAGTTTCAAAACATTTGGTAGAGGCAAACTAAAGTTAGAGAACGGAAACCAATTTCGGGACGTACGAACGGTTGTACAGACGGACAAGGGTAAAGCACAATGCCCCCTCCGCTACAGTGGGGGCATAAAAATTGCCAAAATAAGGGGTGAAAAAAGTGGGGCAATTGCAGAAGCATTGCTGCAATGCCTGTCATGTGGAAAAGTCATCTCTAGATACAAATATGACGAGTCCTTTACAAACCAAACCATTTATGACTGAAGGTTTTGTTCCAATATTAGAGACAGGTGTTTCACGGTTCAAAACAGCTTAAATGACTAAAATTTATTGTACAAACATTAAATGTAAGAATTCAGTTTAAACAGGTTTTCCATTTAACCAGGGTTCACTTTAGACTGGTTTTACTGTACATTATCAAACCTCACTTGAAAGCTGAAGAAAATCTCATAAATGACTTTAAATGAATAAATACAATCTAATGCCAATGAGACTGCAAAACAATCTACAGCCACCTGATTCATCTCTGTTTATTTATTATTGATTACTATCACTGTGAATTAAAACATATGGAAGACTTCTTAGTAATTTGTCAGACAGGTTTTATACTACAACCTGTACAAACATTTTGGAAAATTTATGAACTATTTACATTAAATGTGTTGCTGGGTTGTTGTTTGTTAATGTTATAACCCTCAGTTTCTTCAATTTATATTGTACAAAATATGTAATACAAAATGCCAGAAGCCGTTTTTTTTTTTAAATCCATGCATATGAATATGAAATTCTCACAAACGTAACCCTATCGATTGTTTTTCTTATATCTTTTTTTATCTCTTGTAATGGAAGGGCATGTCAGATCTCTCTCTCCTGTGGGAATGATTTTTTATGCTATTGTGAGCAGAATGAGTTTATAATGTCCAATATCGGCAGGATACAATGCTATGAAGCAAATTTAACTCTTTTTTCGTCATCGCATTTGTAAGTTCAAAGGAAGTGCATTGTAGACTTTATGGGTCATTTAGAGGAGCAAGGGCACTTCCAAAATCTTTTGGTGAATAAATTTTGACTTTACATATATATTAATATGTGTGAAAAGTAATAATATTATTAATTATTAAATTCTTAATTTACACTACAACTCAGATGGATTTTGCTTTATCCACTTGCCCACATTGGGAGTGGACACTGGGTGGGCAAAACTTCTATCTTGTCCACTCTGCCTACCCATAGGAGTGGGCATGCAATTTCTTTTGCTGAATCAAAAGACTTGCAAGTACAATCAATTGATAAAAACAAATAAGCATTTGTAATCAATATTTTTACAAAAAAAAAGAGAATATAGTGAGAGTGGGCACAGGTGGGCTGTCCACTGTGGGCAGGTGGAAAATGTAAAATCCCCAAGGGCTGTTGTGTACTTCAGAGAAATATGAATACAAGGAGATCCATCAATGTATTCAATGAGACAGTTAAACCTGAGTGAACAACACAAAAACCATAAGACAATTCTCTAGCAGAAGTGCATCTAAGTTGTACAAAACCTATTGAATTTTTATACAAACATGCATATAATATCTAATTGAACATGGAATTTTAGCTTCAATGCTTGCATGTTATGCAGTTAGTCTATGAAAACATGTAAGACATGCAACAAATGCTATTTGTTTGGCACATATGTCAGAAATATTGCAAATGTAAATGTATGTTATAATGCTAAGGCCACCTTAAAAATTCTTTGTTTGATGTTACCTTCCTATGCCTTGTAGGGTTGGGTAGGTAGGTAGAGATTATATTTTTCCGACCTATATATCTGCCGACAACATACATTTGTAAGTTACATGTTTTAGACAAGAAAATGATGTAAGAACATGAAAAAAAAACTTTAATAACAAAATTTGAAATGATTTGTGACATAGAATTTTTCGGGTACATGTAGGCAGGAAACATCAAACAATTTTAATTTAATTTTTCGCCCAACGGAATAATTAATAAAAAAAAAATCTGGAAAGAACCATTTATGAAGCCAGCTTTTAGGAGCAGGTACATGTACATTCTTCTTTACTTCTTCTTCAGAAATTAACATGATTAAAGAATATTAAAAAAATAGAACTGATAGATATCTGGGACTATTAAACTAATAGTCCCAGTAGATATACACAACAACAAATTTAGAATTTTGTAGATTTATTTTGATATAGTGATATTTCAGTAAAAACACAACAAGTGCTAATATTGCTATGAAATAAAAAAAATATAGTTTACCATTCTTCTTATCTGGATTAGCACTATGTACCATTTACTTAGTATTATGTTACTTTAAGGATGAACAGCTTATCTTAGAGGGTCTTAAGGGGGATCATTAACAGGACGAACCCAATATACACTTATCTTTTAATGATGAAGGAAAACAAATGGAGCAGAAGGAAAATGTAAATGTTGCATGAAACACAAAACATATTGAACAAAGAGTTCGATCATATATCTGTATAGATATATTAATAAGATGTAAATATTAGTTACTTAACTGTACAAATGTTCCACAATACCACCCGGGAGCAAACAGACCCGATACCCCAAACCCCCAACCCCTTTTCATTATCATGACACTTAGTTCAGAAAAACAGTCCCAAACGCAAATAGGCTAAATGAATCACAAATGTCAAATCTAAACATAAATTAAATTAATTTTAAGGTGTCCTTTAACATCTAATATGCGCGGCGCAACACTCCTCTGGTAAGAAGATGGAACATTTTTCCATAGAAATGTAGAAACAATAAAAATGTGAAAAATTAAAACTACCTGTTTTTTTGCTGCTCTTTGTTCCCCATCAATACGTTCTCTTCATCAGCTGGTGGTATTGATTTTCACATCTTTTGAATAATCCTTACACAAAGTCGGTATAATTGGATTTTCTACGCATTGCCTTATCTTGTAACATGCCTCCCGAAAACTAATATTGAGATGTTATCTTGGAATTCCTCTCAAGAAGATCTTACATGCTTATCTTGTTGGTGTATTTTGTAATTTGAATTCCCGGTTGGCCTGATTCGAATGTAATTTGATTGAATGGTATGTCGGTCACATGATCGTAGATCAAATATACAAATAGTGGTCAGGTGACACACAGTTTACTATTTTTAGAAAAGCACGTGCATGTCAACCAAAAATGAAAGTAGCTTATTCGTGGCAATTATTTCATGCATAGTTAGGACGATTGATTTCTTTAATCAAGAATGTATATTAGTTATAAATCATTGTTTTATTTGAAGAAAAAATACAAATTTAATATGAACCTTGCTATGAATCATATTGTGGTATAAATCTGGCCGGGATGTTTCTCAGTTTGAAATTTATTTTTCAAGATCAGTTTAAATTCCGTTATTTCTTATTTCCTTTAAGAAAAGATTTTTAGTAAGATTTTTAACTAATACGTGTACATGATACAAAACTTTTGAAAATTGTGGTTTAGAACTTTTACAAAATCGGACAATAGGATTTTCTCTGAGACATGCGATATAAATCCTTGCAGACCGTTTTAGACTTATTACCAGGTTTGTACTAACATGAGCAACACGACGGGTGCCACAAATGGAGCAGGATCTGCTTACCCTTCCGGAGCACCTGAGATCACCCCCCAGTTTTTGGTGGGGTTCGTGTTGCTCAGTCTTCAGTTTTCTGTGTTGTGTTTTGTGTACTATTGTTTGTCTGTTTGTCTTTTGGTCTTTTACTTTTTTCAGAGTCGGATTTAGAGGGTTTTCCAGGGGGCCCAGGCCCCCCTTTTATGGGAAAAAATTGGTTGATTATTTAGGGAATCACTGAAGCATGACTGGAGCGGGCCCCCTCTAAGGCAGTCCGTGCCCCCCCCCCCCCTTTATGAAAATTTCTGGATCCGCCACTGTTTTTAGCCATGGCGTTGTCAGTTTAGTTTCGGCTTATGAGTTTGAATGTCCCTTCGGCAACTTTCGCCTCTCTTTTGCAGAAATTTAGAATTCATAAGACAATATATTATCAGATTTGAGTTTGCTTTCATTGACTAAGTTTTACTCTTACCACCGACGTGTCATTTATAAATACGGATGAATGAATCATAAAGGAGATTTGTGGGTATACGCCAATGCTGAGACAACAAACCAACCCGAAGACATCAATAAACAAAGATGAAGGTTGATTAAGAAATTCTACCATGATAAAACACACTCCAAAGTTCAAACTCAAGTCATTTTAACAGCAAGAGATGTTATGAATATATTTGGTACCTTACACCACCAAATCAACTATGAAGTTTTACAAAGAAGAAAAGTAATAATGACAAAAGGAATGTACAAATGGTTACGACCAAAAGAAAAGAGACTCATTAAAAAAATATAAAAAATGAAGAAGTATAAAATTGTTCAAGATATACCGTTTTGGGAGTTTTCTATTTAAAAGAAAAAAATAGGTGCATGTCTATAAATTTAATGATATTTCACGGCGATATCAGGTAGATCACAAAAGAAAAAATAAATCAAATAAAATAAAAACTACAAACACTTGCTGAATTTGTTCAGTTATGTAATACTTTTGATCAGTTTTCTGGTAGATAGTTTTACAGCATTTGATAAAACCATTTCCTACCAACTAGATAAAGCTGTTTACTTTAAGCTTACAGTGCCATTTTTTAGTTAAGAGATGGGCTTATAATTGAGATAATATGAGAGCTCATTAAGGAGGATCTGGATGGGGTTTAACAGAATAGAGAAAAATGGGTAACATGTGGTCTCTGGTGGAGAGTTGTTTAATTGGAATCATACCACGTCTTCTTATTTTTATAAAAAAAAAAAAAAAAAAAAATGAAAAATGACTCTCCAAAAAGCCGGACTAGTGACAAATTATGTGCTTTGTGTACAGGAAGATGATAAAAAAAAATTAGGAGATTACAAAAATGAAGACTCCCCCCCCCCCCCCCCCCCCCCCCTCCTCCTCCAACGACCTTCACTTTAAGGGCTGAAATTTTCTCCCAATATATAAATAAAATATTGTGATTATTGATACTTAAAAAAATTCACACCAAGCTTGACCATATGACCACTTAAATGGCAAGAACGATTTTCAGAATAAAAGATCATAACTTTAATAAACTTCAAAACAGCAAGTACATATTATTAACATATAGATTAGCTTGAGATGGGGAATTAACGTCTAGAAGACAACATGCATCCAAAATGAAACGGAGACTAAAAGATCAATATCAAATCAAGTCCCTTATATATATAGAAAACAATTACATGAAACTTTTGGGATTTCTTTGATATAATAGCGGTTTATTGTTTATATTGAACCAAGCCGAGGGGTCTTTTTTCAGTTATAGTCCTTTCTACGAACATTTTATGGACGCCATAATAATTTGGTTGACTGTTATTGATAGTTTGTTTCTTCTGTCATTTTGACATATTCTCATGAACCGACTTATTTGAAATGCAACTTTTAACAGGAATATTTAATTGTAGCAAACTGGCGGGCACTTTTATTTCAGCCGGAACTGCTCACTCTTTCGGAGCACATGACATCAATTCTTGAAAAGTTCAGATGCGTATCCAGGTTTTTGAAAAACGGGGGGAGGAGGGGGCAAACTAGTCAACGTTTGGAGTGGGGCATGTAAAAAGTCTATGCATTAACCATATATGTATCTCTGTATTAAGGTGGCGGGTCCTCTGGGCCCCCTTAAATCCGCCTTTGTAAGTTGAATTTGTGTTGCTCAATATTCAATTTTGTGTGTATAGTGCTTTGTGGACTGCTGTTCTTCTTTGCAGCCTTTTTCTGTTGGTCAAGATGTCGTCTGTCTGCACGACTGCTGGTCAAGGTGTCGTCTGACTTCTGTTTATGATTGTGATTGCTCATCAGTATGTTCTAACTTTTTCTGTGCGGATTCAGACGGGAGCGCCATCAACCCCACTAAAAAACGACCGTAAATCTAAAGTAAAGTGAAAGCGTCTTCTCGTCACTAAAACTGTAATATATATATATAAATATATATATATAGTATTCAAATAAAAGAAGATTTGTAGTATACATCAGTGAGACAGCAACTCACGTAATATGAAGTAAAATGGACATTTCGGGGCCTTTTACAGCTGACTATGCGGTGTGGGTTTTGCTCATTGTTGAAGGCTGTACGCTGACCTATAATTGTTAACTTCTATATCATTTGGTCTCTGGTGGAGAGTAGTCTCATTGGCAATCATACTAATAAAATTGGGAATGGAAATGGGGAATGTGTCAAAGAGACAACAACCCAGTGGCGGAATCAGGAAAAGGGGGTGGGGTTCCGGGGGTTGGAACCCCCTTTTTTTACGATCAATGCATTTGAATGGGGACATATAGTTGGAACCCCCTCCCCCCTTTATAAATGGCTGGATCCGCCCCTGCAACCCGACCAAAGAGCAGAAAACAGCCGAAGGCCACCAATGGGTCTTCAATACAGCGAGAAAATCCCGCACCCGGAGGCGTGCTTCAGCTGGCCCCTAAACAAAAATATGTACTAGTTCAGTAATAATAGACGTCATACTAAACTCCGAAATATATAAAAGAAACTAACATTAAAAATCATACAAGACTAACAAAGGCCAGAGGCTCCTGACTTGGGACAGGCGCAAAAATGAGGCGGGGTTAAACATGTTTTTTGATATCTCAACCCTCCCCTATACCTCTAGTAAATGTAGAAAAAACAAACACACAGCAATACGCACAGTAAAACTCGATTCCGACGTCAGAATAGGTAACAAAAGAAACTAAACAAAATGACAATGATACATAAATTAACAAAGGACTACTAGCAGTTACTGACATGCCAGTTCCAGACCTCAATTAAACTGATTGAAAGATTATGTCTTCATCATATGAATATGAAGCACAATCCCTCCCGTTAGGGGTTTAGTATCATACCATCATAAAATATATGAGAAGAACATAACCCGTATCATGCCAACAACTGGTTTTAGTATCATACCATCATAAAATATATGAGAAGAACATAACCCGTATCATGCCAACAACTGGTTTTAGAACAAATGTGTTTATTTCCGATGCATAGACCCTATGAGTGAATCAATATTAATACCAAAATATGCAATCTTCATTGACCTGACAACAGTACCGTTACTATATCACTTAAGTCTGTTTAAAAGTTTGGTTAGCTTTTGAGGTGAATGCCGACATATTTGTGCTTTGTAAAGAATATTACCATAAAAGATTGGATGTCAGTCTTCTTATTTTCAAATTTCAATCACAGAAAAGCGTCCGTGTCATATGTCAAGTTCTAAATAGCCCTTAGTCTAGACAAGGTTGGCCGTGAACAACAACTGAGACTACCAACAATCTACCATTAATACCGATTTTCCAATAATGAACATAAAACTGGTGGATATCAAGAACCAACGACAAGCTAATTTAACATTTTTCTTGCTTGCGTTCAGTTTAAGTTACTTAATTTTCAATTTATGTGTTGTATAACCGGTAACAGTCTTGTCTATTCTTTGTCTCGAAACCGTATTTCAAATTCAAAATTTGAAGCTCAATCAAGTTTCAGGGTTTAAATATTTACATGACCAATGGTTTATGAATTTAGTGATGTCTTCGAGTTAGATATAAGAGTCAATTATACCAGTCTGCTCATGCTTGGTGCCTAATCACAAAATATGCCCTATCAACGTATTTTATTGGAATAACAGGATGGGTGTCGCACGTGGAGCAGGATCTACTGCCCCTTCCAGAGCACCTGCGGTAACCCCCGATTTTTGGTGGGGTTCGTGTTAATCGTGACTCTTTAGTTTTCTATGTTGAGTTATGTATACTGTTGTTTGTCAATTTGTTGTTTTTCTTTTTTGCCATGACATTGTCAGTCTGTCATCTACTTGCGAGTTTGAATATCCCTTTGGTATCTTCCGCCTCTCTTTGATATGGTTAGATTGGTTTTAATTGTGTACGACCAATAGAATAGCAAATATGATATGCACAGAATTAAGCACAACGCCAAATATCAGTTCATCAAATATCAACATAATTTTAGTTTCTGAGTCTATTCATT